TCCGGCATTTGCACCAAGGTTTAGAAAGATAAAATATTCTGTTTATTAATTAATAATTTAAATTAAGGATGCGCGAAATGGAAAGTGCCGTTGTGCCATTCAGCTATCCATTTAACGCCTACAAATATTTTAAAAAGTGATGTAGCATTAATGTTTCGGGCCTTAATTTCGGATAAATTGCATCGAAGAGGATCGATTTACTCCATTGAACGGTCAAACAAAGGAATAAAAGTTGTCCAAAGGAATTTCTGCTAAATTAGAAACGAGTGAAACCTTTAATAACAATGATGGAAGGCGTTATAATTTAAAAAAAAATGCATCTTCTTTCAGCAAAGTATCACGCGCCATTCCCTTTTAAAGCCGCATTTCGACCGTTTTTAAATACGAAGAAACTTGTGTAAACCGGACTGGTGCCCCACCGAATATTTTCCCCGTTTTGGCAGGTTTCCGTTTTATTAAGGTTCCGCTTTGGACGGGTTTTCCTATAGTTTCTAGCGGTGTAAAACCTAATTGTATTTTGATAAAAATTCAGAATTTTTTAAATTAATACGTCGGAAAATTATTCTAATTTCCTACCATATTTTATTTTATCGAATCTCTCGTTAAATATTTGTAACTAATACTTAACATTGAATACGTCATATTCGTAATAGTTTTCAATTTTACTCTGTAAATCTGAATAAGTAAGATAAAAAAAGCAATAAAACCATTGTTAAATTATTAAATAGAATTAGCTCTTTAATTAAAAATTCTGTTTTATTCTAATATATTATTCAGAATAAAATAAATAATAATTTTATAACGAAATGTATGGAAAACTCGAGCATTATTGGCCTAGAAAGCACGAGAACTTTCTAGGCCACTGTTATCGATGACGTCACGCGTCACAACAAACGCTCTGTTGCGTCATGCGCAGACGTTCCAGAATGTTCGAGAAGTTTCCTCTCTCCTACTAATACCGGCGACTGCCAGTGTGGCTTCAAATCTTGTCTGTGGCAACGCAAGGTTCAAGTCAAAATGTCTCAATTGTTGTTACCCGCTTTACTAGGCGACGTGTGGGATTATCCTCGCCGATTATTCGATCAACAGTTCGGTTTGGGGCTGACAGATGAGGATTTCTTCCCTCCGACGTCATATCGCGGATTTATCGTCAGACCGCGATGCCAGACGAGTGTCCAAGATTCTAGTTCCGGTGTTTCCGAAGTAGTCAACACCAAAGACCACTTCCGGGTCATGACCGACGTCAGCCACTTCTCTCCGGAAGACATCACCGTCAAAACCGTGGACAATTGCGTGGTGATACACGGAAAACACGAGGAGAAGATGGATCAACACGGGTTCGTGTCCAGAGAGTTTACCCGCAGATACGTCCTTCCTAAGGAAGTCGATCCCGAGAAGGTGACGTCGTCTCTGAGTGGCGACGGAGTGTTGACGGTGGAAGCGCCTAAAAAACGCGAAGAATTACCGTCTAACGAAAGAGTTGTTCCTATAACCGTGCAGAGGGTCCCTGCAGTGAGGGAGACGGAGAAAACGGAAGAGGTCCCCAACGAATAAGTTTCCTCGTTTACTACGAAAATTCTTTATTTATTAATGATGTTTATTAGCCTATAGTAGGCCTGTATACTGTGTAATTATTATTTGTTTTATACATTTAATAAAATTACGTTAATTGAATCAATCTGTGTTTGTGTGTGTCTG